ATAGTGAATTCACTCTCGAATTGAACCAAATTTGATGTGCCCCTTTTACCACCGTCTTCACCTCAGAATTGTCTTGCTCAACGTTAAATCCACAATGCTGATATCGAATCCACAACGACAAGCCACTCTGGAATTCACTGAAAAACAACTCTCTTTTTTGTGAATAAAAGAAAACAAACAAACCGCTTGATAATGTTGATATAAAGTTCATGAATCCATTGATCACTTTTAAATCATCAAAGAAATACTCATAAAACACTCTCCAATATAATACACTTTGCTTTTTTCTTCCTCTGTAAAAGTCTGAACAGCTCAAATCCTAAAACGAGCAAACAACACACTATATAGTAAACTGAATCGTGAAGACTGCTCGAGCGTACACTTCACTGCTTAAGCGGTGTGAGTAAAGGCGGTGCAAAGCATATAGGTTAACTGCTCAAGCACAACTTTCACCACTTGAGCGGTAAAACTTTCTTCCTAGAAGTTCAGGCGCACTACAAAAGTACTGGATGATCATTTTCTTTGTTCGAGCACACAAATGACTACTTGAGCGGTCAAACAACTTTGACTGCACTTATGCATAGTCGGCAAAGTGGCAAAAATGAAAGGATCAAGATCACAAACTCCTTTGCATAAGCACAATTCAGGTTGGATTCGCACCTAAACACTCATAGTCTCACTAAAATAAAAGAGCAAATAAAATTATAACTGAAATGAGTTTTGTCAAACGGGATTGTCAATTACAAAAACCTAACAAAAATAATTATAAATTTATATTTTAATTTCATAGTCATTAGATTTGTCATGAAAAATTTTCATTACATATATGGAATGGCGAGTATCGAAATATTTAATTTAGGATGTTAATGTATTGTAAACAAAAATTATATCAAATAAAAAAAAATTCACAAGACATTGATAGTGCTTCTCAAAAAAAAAAAAAAAAAGAAGGTTAATTATCAATAGGTCCTAATAATTTGACTTAATTCCCATTAGTCTTATTGAAAATAAGTCATAGTAAAATCGTTGCTAAAAATAATTTTTTGTAACGATTTTTTGCATATGTCGTTAAAAATTGACAATTAGTAACTTTTTTTGTTACGATTTTTATAAATTGTCACTAAACTTACAATTAGTGATGTCTTTCTGTAATGAATTTTTCAAGTTGTCGCTAAAAGTTAAAAATTAGGGACTTTTTTCGTAACGATTTTTTTAAATTGTTGCTAAAACTTATAATTAGTAACATTTTTTGTAACAAAATTTTTAAATTGTCGCTGAAAATTAATAATTAGTGACTTTTTTTTAATAATATTTGATAAAAAACACTATTAATTATCATAAGACTTATTGAACAACAAATCTACCTATTTGAACTTACACCTAAGTCCCAAAAAAATTGTATGAACACTCCCAGTGGATTGCAATGAAAAAAGTCATTCATATGGCCCAGTCGACTCCAAAGTTAGGCGTATGATAGTGGTTTGCCATAAGCAAATTTATAGCAATAGTTTAAATTCTCTTTTGTCCATCTAATTTTTTTTTTAATTCTCTTCTGGAAAAATTAAAAAACCAAATAAATTAATGTTTGAATTTTATAATAAAATGATTTTAAGTTTTTTTTAAAATTTTTATTTATTTTAAATCTAAATCATAGTAAAATTATTAGAAAAATATATTTTAGTCATTAAACTTAATAGAAATATGCATTTTAGGTTTTTTTTTTATATATACTTACATTGAATTTATTAAGTAAAATATATTTTTTAGACAATTTTATTTAATAAAAATAAGTATATATAAATATATTTTTGTAATTTCCTAATTTTCCTTCTCTACATGATATATAGTTTAAAATTTTACAAAAACAATAAAAATTGATTCCGACACTCAATAAATAATCGGTGAATTGAGAACTTAAATTGGATTACATTATTGATCTTCATAATTACATTTATTTATAAGTATTGCCATCATTCAATACTAAAAATATACTTTATTTTCAAATTCAGCGATAATCAATTAACATATTAAAAGTAACACTAGCTCTCATATATTTTCTAATTATTGGCTAATCATGTCAATTACATATTATTGATGTACTATTTGACATTCCTTATATTAGTACACTTTTTTTTATTTTTATTTTTTTATCTTTTTTTGATTACATCATTTTCTCTATTTTTTTTTTGTATATCTTTCTATAAAAAATCAAAAAAATATATTTCTTTAAATCATTTCAAACACCTTCTAAGGACTGGTTTGACATGTTTGAAAAAAGTTAAAAAGTCAAAAAATTCACTATCCTATTTATGTCATATCATCTTATTTAAGTCACATTACCTCTCTAACACATTACTTCAAACCCAACCCAAATTTTATAAAAAGTCAAAAAATATACTTATTAGATCATCTCAAAAATAAATGTACTTTTTATCTTTTTACGAAAAGATGTGCAGAAAAGTAGAGAGATAATATGATGAAAAAAATATAAAAAGATAAAAAAATAGATTATTTTTAAGTTTCCAAACTTGGCCTAAATCTACAAAATAAGGGATTTTTTGGGATGTTTTAAATAAGTGCACTTTTTGACTTTTTATGAAATATGAGTTGGGTTTGAAGTGATGTTACAGAGAGGTGATGTGACTTAAATAAGATGATGTGACTTAAATAGGATAGTGACTTTTGACTTTTTAACTTTTTTTAGAGATGCCAAACTTAGCCTAAATCTAAAAAGTGGGTATGTGTAACATTTTCTTTTATTGGTTTAAAGCACAATGGCTAGATGGCGTGTTTCACTTTTATAAAAGTAAAGGATAAAACATTATTTTATCCCCAAACATTCACGTATTTTTTAATTTGGCTTTCAGATTTTGATTAATATTGAATTTATATCTAAAATTTTGAAATTTTGATCAATTTGATCCTTTACCGTTACATTCCGTCTACAATTAGATGAAATGTATTGATGTAGCACCAAAGTTCATTTAAAATTTCATTTTACCCCCAAACTATATCTTAAAAATTAATTTGCCCTCCAAATATAAAAAAAAAATTAAATTTAAATATTTAATAAATAATTTTTTATCTCAATAATGAAAAAATTTAAAATTTAAATAATATATACTTTACAAAAAATATAAAAATTATCATTTAGAATTATTTTGAGACTATGAAGTATGAATAACTTGACAAACATGTCGTACTCGTCCTGAATATTTACCGACGTATGATATTTTTTCATAGTCTCAAGATAATTCTAAATGAGAATTTTTATATTTTTTTATATAAAATTTAATTTTTCAATTATCGAGATAAAAAAAATTTATTAAATATTTAAATTTAATTCTTTTATATTTGTGGGATAAATTGATTTTTAAAGTATAATTTGGGAGATAAAATGAAATTATAAATAAACTTTGGTACCATGTTAGCACATTCTGTTCAATTATAAACGGAATGTAACGATAAGGGCTAAATTAATCAAAATTTCAAACGTTTAGGTAAAATTAATATTAATCAAAATCTAAAGATCACATTGAAAAAAGTGTCAAAATTTGAGAGGCAAAATAATATTTCCTCCCAGCTTTTGTTTTAATAATATTTGGGACCCCAGAATTTATAACCTCCAGAATCCTCAATTAATTTGGGAATGGAGTCACTGTTGTGCTTTTGTGCTTTTAGCACAGCAGTAACTGTTTTGCCTCAATTTGAGGTATATTATGGGCTTATTTTTATGATATGAATCGGTCATTTTGTAGGGTTTGTTAAGTACTTCATACTTATCAAAAATCATATTAATCGAATATCAATAACTATATGATCGATAATCAAAAAAATAAATAACAAGTTTTTCTTTTGAGAAATAACACAAAAAATATGCAATTCAATTATATACTTATTGATATTCGATTAATATAATTTTTGGTAGGCATGAAATATTCAATAAACCTTATAAAATGAACGGTTTGAATCATAAAAATAAGTCCATAATATACCTTAAATTTAGGCATAATAGTCACTATTGTGCCTTTAACACAACAGTAACTCTAATTCCATTAATTTGTGACCACTCATTTATTTATTGGAAAATGGGGAAGACCCCTATTGCGGGAGAGCGCCAGCACCCCCACTGCATGCTGATTGGTCTAATTTTTTTTTTTTTCAATCTCTCCTTCTCAGACAACGTTGGACGAGACAATTGTGATGATGGTGGTGGTTGTATCGGTGGCTGTGATGGTAGTGGTGGTGGCTGTATCGGTGGCTGTGATGGTGGGGGTGGCTGTATCGGTGCGTGTAATGGGGGGGTGTGGGTGCTGGGGTCTCTGGCACCACTGCTTTTGTTTTATCTTTACCTTCAAATTGAGAGAGATAGCGGAGCAGAGCACCAGAATCGGGCTATGGAAGAAGTAAAGCTCCGAATTTTTGCTTCTCGTAGCGTTCCGCAATACAGATTAAGAGAAAGAAGGATAGCAGCAATAAGGGCAAGGAAAAGCATGGTGAGATGGAAACAGAGACTGATATTCGGGAGGGAAATGGGTGAAAATTATTCTGTCTTGGGAGAGCTGAAGCATCTAATGATCAGTAAGACGTTCAATTTGACTGCAGATCAGGGGGATGAAATCGGATCTTTTTACAGTCGGCTAAGATTCCTAGCAATGATTCTCAAGGATATGGAAGAGAAGCAGCAGCGGCAGCAACAGCAACAGCATGAGCTGAACCATGAAGCTAAAAACCTGGCGATGCTAATTAATAATGTTATCTGCAAGACAAGATTACTCATCAATTCTTCTGATGTTGAAGTTCCAACTCAGAGAGACGGCAAAAACAACGATGGTGAAAGTAATTGTTTTTTTTTATAGTTTAAGCCTCACAAATATCATGGAAGAGATTAAGCCGATCGAGGCAAAAGTGGTGCAGTTCTATGACCAGATAAATCCGATCCAACTCTTACAAGATTTCAATGATGGAGTCCATTCCTCAATGTCAATGTCAGTGGAGAACAGAACCATGGTAGATGAAGAAATTACAGTGGGCTTTGATGATGAGGCGTTGACTATAAAACAGCTACTTGCTGGAGGGAAGAAGCAGCTACAACTGTTAATAATTTGTTGGGATGCCTGGACTCGGTAAGACTACTTTAGCCACAAAACTGTACAATGATCCTTACATCACACACTACTTTCATACTCGTGCATGGACCTATGCTTCTCAATTACCCAGAAAAACAGATATGTTGTTGGACATTTTACGTTCTGTTAATGTCGTCTTTACCGATGAAATTGAAAACATGACCAATGAGAAGCGAGGCGAAAAGTTGTACAAGCAATTAAAAGGCAAGAGATATCTCATTGTCATTGATGATTTATGGGATATTGGTACCTGGGTCGATCTTAAAATGTGTTTCCCCAATGACAACAATGGGAGTAGAGTTATGTTCACAAGTCGCCTCAAAGAGTTGTCTATGCATGCCTCACCTGATTGCCATCCTCATTGTTTGTGTTTTCTCACTGAAGAAGAGAGTTGGGAGTTATTACAATGGAAGGTGTTTCAAAATGAAAGTTGCCCTCCAGAACTGATTGGAATTGGGAAGCAAATAATGAAAAAATGTGAAGGGCTTCCACTTGCAATTGTTGTAATAGCAGGACTTCTTGCAAAGAACATCAAGACAAAAGAGTCGTGGAAACAAGTTGCCCAAAGTGTAAGATCATACATTGTTAGTGAGCCAAACCAGTACTTGGACACACTAGCACTGTGTTACAATCACTTGCCTCGTCACTTGAAACCATGCTTTCTCTATTTAGGAGCATTTCCAGAAGATCAAGAAATCACGGTGCAGAGATTAATTTGGTTATGGATAGCTGAGGGGTTTATACAAAAAATTGAGCAGAAAAGTTTGGAGGAAGTAGCGGAGGGTTACTTAATGGATCTAATTCAAAGAAGTCTGGTAATTGTTGCTCAAAAAAGATTTGATGGTCGAATTAAAGCATGTCGTATGCATGATTTGTTGCGTGATTTATGCTTGACGAAAGCCAGGGAAATTAATTTCCTACAGTGGATTCACAATTATGAAGACGCTTCTCCTTCTTCTTCAAGTACTTACGAAACGAATAACCAATGCTGCCTGTGCATCCGTCCTTGCTTCTTACTAAAATTTGATCATGCTCTCTTAGAACCTTATTCCCCAGCAGTTGTTCAATCATTTTTGTGCTTCAGAAATAAGTTAGAGATAAAAATTAGTTATAACAACAATTCATGTGGTGATGTGTGCCCGTTTATTTGTTGGACCTTCAAACTTCTTAGAGTGTTGGACATATGGTACATCAATGCCTTCTTTTCAAGAGAATTAACACAACTTGTTAATTTGAGGTATTTTGCAATTCATTTGGAAAGTTCTTATGATTTACCGCCATCAATATCCAATCTCTCTAACCTAGAAACACTTATTATTATTTCTAAAACACGGATAGAGGTTATTCTGCCATGTAATGTTTGGAAGATTCCAAAGTTGAGGCATCTTTATGCTAAAGGAGGAGCAAAAGTTGATGTGTCTTTATGTTCTAAAGAAGCAGCAGTGGATCACAGCTATCCCCATGTATTAAAAGACCTACGAACCATCACAAACTTAGATCCATGTGGATTTGTTCAGGATTTTTTGGCAAGAACTCCTTATCTTACAAAGCTAGGAATTTGTGGACGTCTTTTTTCATATTTGGGGAATTTGATGTTTCCTAATCTAGAATTTTTAGGACACCTTGACACTTTGAAGCTATACTGTAAGTTCTTGTACTCAACCAATCTCCGAGAGGTCAAGTTTCCTACAAATGTCGAAAGGCTAACCTTGAAATGTACAAGTATAAAGTGGGAGGAGATATCAGTCCTTGGGATGTTGTTACCCAACCTTGAGCTTCTCAAATTACAAAATGATGCTGGCTGGGGATGCCAATGGACAACAATTGATGGTGGTTTTCCTCGACTCAAATTCTTGAAACTGAAGAATCTCAATGTTAAGCGATGGATCACCTGCTCAAGTCACTTTCCAAGCCTTCGACACTTATCATTGGAACGTTGTCAATATCTCGAGGAAATACCATCTAGTTTGGGGGATATACTCACTCTGCAGATGATTGAGGTAAACGATTGTCGCTTCACTGTTGTGGAATCTGTCAGGAAAATTAAGGAAGAGCAAGAGAGCATTGGAAATACGGCAGTGCTACGTAGCTCGAAATTCTTTGGCTCGAATTTGGTGTCGTTTTGGTGTCTTTTTTTTTTTTTTTTTCTTTTTCCTGTGTTTTTGTTCAATCAGAAACGAAGAGGGGAGAAGAAGAAGAGGGGAGGAGAAGAAGAAGAAGAAGAAGGGAAGGGAGAAGGGAGAAGGGAGAACTGGACAGGAGGGGGCCTCAACTAGTGGCGGAGGAGCGGCGGAGGCGGTGGTGCTGCGACGAGCTGTGATCGGCGAGGCGGTGGTGCTGCGACTGCGTGCGACGGCGGTGGTGCTGCCTCCTCCTCTTTCTCTTCTCCTCTCTTCTTCCTCTCTTCTCTCCCTCTTTCTCCTCTCCTCTTCCCTCTGTTTGTGCAGAGCTCCTTTGCTTGAAAAGGAAAAAAAAATTCGAGCCGTTTTGAGCCTCTCAGTTTCGAGCTCTGAGTCATTTTCCTTGAAAATAATTGGTTCAAAGTGCTGATTAGGAAATAATCTGCATTGGACCTTCGAATTAAAGGGTAATGATACAACTTGTAAAGGTATGTTCTTTTTTATATTTATGTTTAATTTTTTTTTTCTCTATCGTATTTCTCATTTTGTATTCAACCCTACATCAAATAAGAGAAATCTATCTTGTGTATATATAAATTAGCATAAAACTATACCGCCTTAAATAAATAGTTAAATTTTTATCTTAAAAATTAAAGTAATAATTTTAAAATTTAAATGAAAAAAATAGTTGAAATTATGTGAATGAGTTGTTTTCATTTAAATTGCACTAAAGTCATGTTTTAATTGTGTTATTATTAATATTTTATTGTAAGTATTAACTAATAGATATATATGTCATTATGTATAGCAGTAACATTTTAGATCAATAAAGATTGAATGAATTATAAAAATTACCTTTAGTACACAAGATAAAATATATTTACTTTTATATTAGATTTTCTCGAACGATATAACAACTAAAATTTCTAATTTACAATTATATAAAAATAGTTTCTTTCATTTCATTTTCATTTTTATTTTAAATTTAATTGAGCATATAGCATATAGTATTTTTATGTTTTTTCATATTTCATTTTCATTTTTATTTTATTTTTTTAATTTTTGTAAACATTTTTGGTATATGTGATATGTAAGTATCAGATAACAATATCCATGTGGTAAAGTACGGGAAAAAATTAAGGATCTTGAAAAAGTAAATAAAAAAATTATCAAAAAATAAAGTGTATGCAGTATTTGTATGCTAAAATTTGACCACAGAACCAATACTTTGATATTTTTCTTGGAATTCTATAAACACAGCCGTGGAACAAACTGCCTAGATCCATGTCTGCACAATTAGAAGAATAACTAATCCGGTTGCTCGTCAACCAGGAGGGCACTCGATAATAAAGTCAGTAAACTAATATCTCAGGATATTTCGATAGAGTAATGATAATTCAAATTAACACATAAATTCACGTACCTTTCACACATGGGGGTGGCTGTTTTTATATAAATTCTCCTCCTCCTAGACTAGGAAGCATGGATACAGATACGAGTTACAGATATAATACAATACAAATAAGGCAATATAACAAAACTTTACAAAAAAAATATGGGTACGATTAGGATACGTTTGTGAAAAATATATTTTTTAAAATTATTAGTAGTGAGTTACACAAAAGCTAAAGAATGTTGAGAAACCTCAAAACCAAACTAAACCAAAACCAAAATGAAGCCTTAAGTCCTTGTTGAGAAACTTCAATGTAATTTTATAATGTAAGATACTAACTTTTAAAAATTAGCTATTAATTTAAGCTAGTAGCTTGTTTATCTTTGGCTGAAAATGTAAAACCAGTTTGATAACATGTTTCAGGATGAAGATTGTCTTGCAATGGCTTCCCTCCCTTGTTCTGAATGAAACAGAAATGGTGTTCTCAAAGGTGCTATCAGAAAAAATGTTAGAGATTGCGTGTTTGATTGTACTAGAACTTGTTAGTTAAGTGTGCTTGTATGTAATATAACTGTTTGTGAGTGCTTGTCTGTAATATATAACTTATGTTTGTGAGGAAATTGTTGGAGTATTATTCTAACTTGTTTACTGTCAAAATATAAAACATGAATAGAGTTGGTACTCCAAATTTACATGGTTTAAGCAGATTTAGGTGTGTGGTATGGCCAACCACTTCAACTGGGAGGGACAGGGCATTTGAGTTGACAATATATATCTTTCATTTTTGATATACTTTGCATACACGATGCATCACTTATTCACCATACATTAATAGTTTTGAGTAGTGATAAGCAGACAAAAAAATTCTTGAATTTTTTTGTATAGAATGATGTGGCATAATGTGGTCCCTTCATTTAAAAACAGAATTTTCATGATCATGATCATGATTCACAAATAGTAATGATATACAAATAGAAAAATGTATGGTTGAAATTGTACTATGGCTGTTAAGCTTGACATGAGCTAGGCCTATGATAGAGTTGGATGGCCATCTGGTGGCTATTATGAGCAAGTCGGGATTTGCAACGCAGTGGATCAGTTGATTATGTAATTTGTCTCTATTGTATTTCATTCCTTGCTGATTAACGGGTACAAGCATGGGTTCATTGTTCCATCTAGGGGGTTGAGACAAGGCAATTTGTTATCACCGTTTCCCTTTTTGATTTGTATTGAAGGTTTGTCGGCCATGTTCAAAGATATATGGAACTCTTTAATTTGTCGCGGATGGCGTTAAACAGAGACATGCAGGATAGACAGAGAAATGTTTATCTTTGGCAAGGCAGGTGTCACTTGAGTCGGTTGTGTACACTTTTTACCCAAACTTTGCAATGTCGTGCTAGAAACTACCTGATATATCTCAATTACGAAAATGTTGTGCAATATACTACCTGATATCATTGTGAGCCTATCTATCTCAATTACGAACGCAACAGACAATTGTACTTGGCAGTTCTCAGTGAAAAGTGAGTATAATAATGGTTTCTTCCTTCCGCTCCTACCGCCGCCAGCCCGCCTTAGAGAAGATTAGCAAAGCAGGAAAAGATAGAGGGGCAGCAGCTGTTAAAACCTACCACTACCACCTACTACCACCTACTCCACCTACTACCTACCTACCTACTCTACTCTTCTATATATAGGAATCATTGTAAACATATTCAAAAATCAATCAATAATACATCAATTTTAATATGGTATCAGAGCAAGGTTAAGCACTTAGTATTTTTCGCTTCACCGGCGGGCGGCAACCTCGCCTTGGCCGCCCGCCGGACCTCAACCTAATCCGCTAGAATTTTCTACACATACCTTGAAATTTCTTCGAGTCCACCACCACTGCCCTTCCTCTCACTGTTGTCCTCCCATACACCACCGTCTCGGTCGTCTTCATCTACCACACTGTTGACCTTAACCTGTCGCTGCAGTCCCTTCACTCTGATCAACGACTGGACACACACACACTGCCGGCACCATCGCAGCCACCTTCGACATGGCCAACCTCATCGCCCGCCCCTTCGGCGGCTTCGCTTCCGACTACTCCGCCAGATTCTTCGGCATGAGAGGCCACCTATGGACCCTCTGGATCCTCCAAACACTCGGAGGACTCTTTTGCTTCCTTCTCGGCCACGCCAACTCCCTCCCCATCGCCATCTCCATGATGATCCTCTTCTCCGCCAGCGCTCAGGCCGCCTGCGGAGCCACCTTCGGCATCATCCCCTTCATTTCTCGCCGATCTCTCGGAGTCATTTCTGGCATGGTCGGAGCCGGTGGGAATTTTGGGTCTGGTTTGACACAGTTGATCTTTTTTCACAAGCTCCAAGTACTCCACTCAAATGGGTTTATCTTAGCTTGCTCAGATGCTATCTCAATGGAAATTTTTCACTTTTTTGACTAAAGCCACCGCCTTACACACAACCAATTTTTTTTTATTCATTTTATCATCATCATCATCATGTACCCCACTCTCTCTCTCCCATTTTTTCACTTTCCAACCCAGCAGCGCACATGCTTTCCTCCTTAATATATTATTATTATTATTATTATTATTATTATTATTATTATTATTATTATTATTATTATTATTAAACCCACAACAACAAAAAAACAAATTCTCCTTATCATTCTTATTATTTTTATTATTATCACATGGGCGTGTTCCCCCTCTTAACAATTTTTTCAATTATTTTCCCCATCTTTCATTTTTGATTTCAATTATAATTCTTATTATTTCTTTCTTTCTTTTTCTTTCACATTATTTTTAATCTTTTTCAAATTCCATTCATACCATATAGCTTTGCACACCAAATCATATTTTATTCATCTCAGGGATCAACCCCAATCACAATTTTACACACACAAAAAAAAAACAAAAAACAAAAAAAAAACTAAAAAACTAAAAACCAAAACACAACACCCAAAGATTTGTTTTCTTTTCTGCAGACGGCCACCCACCGACCTCACTTCTTCGCCTATTCCGCCGGTCTTTTCTTCTTGCCTCTGTCCTGGGCGGCCCTTGCCGGTGTTGTCTCCGTGTTTCCCACGCCACCGAGCACGTTCACTCCACCCTGCTCCTCCACTACAGCATATGGCGGACCTCCAAATCGGAACATAACGGTGGCCTTCCGCTTCAGCTCCTTATTTTCCGCCTTTAGGACACTTATCTCTGCTCGTGCATCCTTATACATGCGCTGGAGCAGAGCCAGTTGGGCGTTTAACTGCTGCACCTCATTTGTCCTACTCTGCAGCCGGTGCGACAAGTTTGTGACCGCAGTCATGGTTTCCACACATGACTTCAATGTATATTGATTGGCTTCAATATCCGTTTGCACCGCCGTTTTTTGCTCCACAGACCGCATTGGAAAGTTAAACGGAGCAAAACCAGAGGCGCTTGGTTGAGGTTCAAGGGCCACCGCACCGGTTATCTCTCTTGTGGACTCGTTGAGGTCGGGAAAGAGAGTGAGCAGACCACGGGAAGACGAGGCCATGTTTTGGGTTGCTAAGTGTTTCAGCGAAGTAGCGATTACAGACTGGTAATGTCAGGAAGGGTTGGTTGCAGATGTTTCAGAATGCAAATGTTCAGATGTTTCAGCCTCGTTTGGTTTGCACAGCCTCCGCATCCGTTTATAAAGACCATGACGAAGAGGCTGACACGCGCTCTGTCGATCACGTGCATCGCCGCGTGTCTGGCGCGGCTTTTGATAGCTCGTCGCTCGATGATTTCTGTCGGGCACAACTTTTGATGCAGTGGGCGCGCCTTTTGAGGGTGCAACTTTTGAGGGCTCCATATATATATCCATGTATATATATTTGGGTAGCCTATCTACACCATCATACAGTGTATTCTACGACGGTCCGACATGACCCCCTAAACTGTCCCGACATTGATTTCGGTTAGCTTTTCCAACGGTCCGGCATGACCACATAAAACTGTCCCGACATTGATTCCGGTTAGCTTTTACAACAGTCCGGCATGACCACATAAAACTGTCCCGACATTGATTCCGGTTAGCATCTCCATCAGTCCGGTGTGACCTCGTCAACTGTCCAGACATTATCTGCTACAACGGTCTGACACGACCATCCAGTGTCTCCTATCCTGTTTTATTTTATGTATTAGTCTATTTTCTTGTTTTGTTACTCTCTCCAAACTCAAGTTGGTTAGTTCCTATCCCCCTTGAGTTTGCGGGGGGCTGTTAAAACCTACCACTACCACCTACTACCACCTACTCCACCTACTACACACCTACAACTACCACCTACTCCACCTACTACCTACCTACCTACTCTACTCTTCTATATATAGGAATAAATGTAAACATATTCAAAAATCAATCAATAATACATCAATTTTAACAGCAGCATCTTATTCTCTTCGCGAGAACTTCTAGATCGGAGAGGGATACGATGGTATAAGGCCAATCTTGTAATCTACTCCTAGATAAGCGGTCAGGCCTGCCTACGTTCACTAAGCTCTGATTCCGACAATCAAAGTTCCTACAAAAATTCTGATATTTTTGTGGATATGTTGTCTTTGATATCCTACTAGTTTAGACAGATTTTGCGGACGTGGAAAATGGCCATTGAAGAAATGAGTAATGAATATACAAATAGAAAAAATTATACTAACTTTCTGTATAGAACAACGTAATGTGAGCGTTTCATTTTCGGTTAAACTTACTTAGATGGCAAACATTATTTAGTTTTAAAACATGAAAAATATTTTCCATTGAGCTTATTTAAGCTGAAAACACTTTCTACTTGAGAAATAAAAAAACAAAAGCTTTGTAGAGAAAATCTTACCAATGCTTCCACAGTACCACCATCTCATCACCACCACCAATACAACTACTGGCATATTAATTTCAAAGTCACAATCAAACATAAGAAAACCTAAAAAGACATTTTGATTGAAACCATAGAGGCATAAAACTATATTCTGTACCCATCCTTTGTGTCAAAAATAGATGTGTGGCTAACAGTACATTGTTTGTTTCGACCCAAGTTTACTCCAAAGTTAGGTGCATGGCATAGGTTGGTGCCATGAGCAAATTAATATTTTAATTTCTATCTTTCTATTACTAAAAGTACATGACATAATACAAAATAACAAAAATTGATACCGACCCTGATAATAGTCGATTGACAAATTAAATTACATTGATCTTTGAAACTACAAATTTAAACATAGATTTGAAACTGCTTTTGTTAGACCTATTTATTTAATTATGTTTTAATTTATTTGGAAGAGAAAAATATAATCAAAATTTATTTTGATGATTTATGTGAAAGAGAAAAATAGAATCAAAATTTATTTTGTCTTATTATTTCTCACCTAAACCTTTATCCTAAATGTTGTTAGAATGTATTTCATATTTGATTTAATCAGAAGTTCAAACAACCCAAAAACAGAGGTTCAAACAGCCCAGCACAACAGTTAATCAGAAGTTCAAACAACCCAAAAACAGAGGTTCAAACAGCCCAGCACAACAGCAGTTC